GTCTTAAAAGTTTGTCTGCTTTTTGAGACTTGGTAGGCAGCCCTGACTGGTCTAGAACTTACTCTGTAAACCAGGCTGGCCTCAAACTCAGAGATCTGTCTGCCTGACTCTGAGTTTGACTCCTGAATACTAGGATTAAAGTTTAAGCTATAGAAATGGTACCCTTCTTTAGTTTTCATTGCTGATAGAAAATGCTTAACTGATTTGATTCTTCTTGATGGGATTTAGAAAGTAAGATGTGTTTAAGTTACCATTTTATCTGACTTTCCTTTCCTCTTGTTCTGTATGCTAGTACCAAAATTAGAAAGTGAATTTCAGCAGATATTTGGTGCTTGAGATAAAATATTTCATATTTTTCTTTTTTATTGGATATTTTATTTATTTACATCTCAAGTGTTATCCCCTTTCCCATCCCCATCCCCCTGCTTCTATGAGGGTGCTCCACCACCCACCCATGCACTTTTTCCCTACCGCCCTGCCCTAGCATTCCCCTATACTGGGGCATCGAGCCTTCACAGGACCAAGGGCCTCCCCTCCCACTGATGCTACATGTGCAGCTGGAGCCATGGGTCCTTCCATGTGTACTCTTGGGTTGGTGGTTTAGGAGCTGGGGGTGGGGGGTTGGATCTGGTCGGTTGATATTGTTGTTCTTCCTATGGGATTGCAAACCCCTTCAGCTCCTTCAGTTCTTCCCCTAACTCCTCCATTGAGGTCCCTGTGCTTAGTCTGATGGTTGGCTGCAAGCACTTGCCTCTGTATTGGTCAGGCTATGGCAGAGCCTCTCAGGAGACAGCTGTATCAGGCTCCTATCAGCAAGCACTTCTTGGCATCAGCAATAGTGTCTGGGTTTGGTGGCTGTATGTGGGATGGATCCCCAGGTGGGGCATTCTCTGGATGGCCTTTCCTTCAGTCTCCGTTCCACTCTTTGTCCCTGTATTTCCTTTAGACAGGAACAATTCTGGGTTAAATTTTGGAGATGGGCAAGTGGCCCATATTTTTTTCTTATATCAAGAGTAACAAACTTCTTTTAGATTTATTTAAAACATTAATAATTTTACTATTTTGCCATCCCAGGTAAGGGCAAAGAATGTTCAAAGGCACTGAATCAGTACATAAAAGAGAACAAAACTTGAGTGAGCTGAGCTGAAATCTGAAAGCTAGCTGGGCAGAGGGGAGTCACAGAAGCCCACAGCGACACTGTGAGAAGCCTGGAGCCAGGCTTTATTCCAGCTTAGCAGGTGTAAGCATATGGTTGATGGGACCACTCCTCTTTACAAATAATCTGCCAACTATGAAAGCATATCAGTTATGTGATGTGACCATTGTCAAGTAGAGTAAATACTTTAACAGTCATAATACATCAGAGCTCACCTGTGCTGGGACCAAAATAGGCAATGCCACCAAGCAGTGCAGAAAATCAGCACCATTTGAAAGCCCTGTCCCACAGCCACCAAGGTAAGCGGTCGGTTAGAGAAGCTAGGGGGAGGTTTGAAGGGAAAGTCCTTGCAGATGTATGTATACGTATGTTAAATTAAGACATAAGACACAGAAAGTGAACCTGCAGCCAACCAGTGGGCCTGGTGTAACTACAGTGGTTGATGGAAAACGCTGCCCTTTGACAGACGTACACAGTACCATTTGCCTTCATGCACCACGGCATCTGGCCTTGGCTTTCTATTCTCAGATGATGGGCTACCAACTTCTTCGTGAAGAGTAGTGAACTAAGGGAGTGCTGAATTGAGTATCAGTAGCCCTTTTTTTTTAAAACTTAGGTATATTTAAAATTTGTATACCTCTCCTAGAAAATTTGTATACTGTAGAGAATTTGACAAAGCATACTGCCCAAAGAGTTCAATTTACACCTCAGATTCACCATTTATGTGGCATGTAGCCTTTGTCAAGGTTTTCCTCAAAATTAAATAATGTAAGAGATTTCTGTAGAAAGTTAAGCCAGGCAGTGGTCTCTGGGAGTTTGAGGCCAGCCTGGTCTACAGAGTGAGTTCCAGGCCAGTCAAGGCTACATGTTTATACATATGTTAAATTAAGACATAAGACACAGAAGGTGGACCTGCAGCCAACTAATAGGCCTGATGCAACTACAGTGGTTGATGAGATATGTCCTGAAAAACAAACAAGCATTAAGCCTTCAGCTACTTCTTCCTCAGCTCCCAGGGCTGGGACTTAGGTAATGGCTTGTGTGACACATTGCACTAGAATATGTAAATAGACTTATATGCATTCATTTTATTGAAGTTTATAGCTTTATATGTGGTAGCAGGCACATTTTGTTTCTGTTTTAGATGTGATTCCTAACCAGAAGATAGCCATTTCCTGGAGGATATGGCTAAGGAAAAAGGCAAACTACAAGTTGATATAGGGAAAACTAGTGTGTTGGACTTACTAAACACTATAGTGTTTGTGTTCAAGTTTTAAAACCAATAGAAACTACTTTTGAGTAGCTTAGAATTTCAAGGCATATTTGACTCCACATGGGATAAAGGCCATAATTGGCTTTGAACAAATGCTTTGTCAAGTGTGTAATTTTGTATTTTCCCTTTATTTACAGAATTTACTAAGATATTCCTGGTTGTATGATTAAATATTTGATAATATCCATTATAATATACAGAATTACTATTCTTCTTGAGAACACAGGGAATGTAATCATTCATATATTGCTTGGGCTGTAACAACTCTTAGACATTCTAGTATAAGGAATTTCAGGCTTGTTCACAATTAAAGTATGAGTCAAGTATTCTCTTTTTGACTGTGAGAGTTTTTTGTCATGTGTATGTATACACTACATGCATCCCTGGTATCCATGGAAGTCATAAGAGGGCATTTGAAGTCCTAGAACTGGAGACATAGACAGTTGTGAGCTGTTACATGGTGCTAGGAATCAAATCTGGGTTTTCTAGAAGAGCAGTCAGAGGTGAGCCATTTCTCCAGTCCCTAATTTCAGATGTTTGATAATTTCGAATTTCAGATTTCTGGATGAGAATGTCAGACTTACTGTTAAAATCAAGAGAGCATCATCTTTGGATGTGTTGAAACATTAGTCATATTGCCATGTCCTTATGAGGCCTAAGTGAATCATTCCACTTACCATTTAATGTTTCAAATCGCTGGGAAACTTAGACACCTAAAAAGAACAGCTTGTAGAATGTAAGATTCTCCATTTTATTCTTATTAAATTAATAAGGAATGACATTTAGTGCCTTGGATGCTCTTTGGCAGTAAGCCAGTTAAATGTAATAGAAGGTGGCCCACCATTCGATGAGCTTGAGGGTCACTGATGTGGAAATAAGAATTTTTCTTATACAAACCTGATCTCTTAACCTACTTTCATTTTCTTATTCCATATCCACCAGTGAATTTTTCTGCTTTATTTAATTCCTGTATTTATTTTCTTATTTGAGATGGAGTTTTCCCATTTGCCCAGCCTGCCCTCCGTCCTAGGCTCAAGTAATCTTCTGTTGACTTCCTAAGTATCTGGGACCACAGGTCACACAATCACACGGGCCCAATCATCTGATTATATACCATGTAAATACAAGGTGGGATATACCATGTAAATACAAGGTGGGATATACCATGTAAATACAAGGTGGGAGACACTACAACCACTTTTTTTTGCAGCAAATCATTAGAAATTACTTAAAAAGAACAAAACAAAAACAAAAATCAGTCTCTTAACGTTTCTGAAATGCTTGCTAGTTTCAAGGAAGTTTTCAGTTACTGATTTTTTTTTTCCGCTGTAAAAGAAAGGCTGTACAGTCAAGAGTATAGGGCAGAGTGATATAAGTGCTTTAATTTTGTCTCACTTAAATTTAGCCTATTTGTGTTGATTATAGAGCAATAGAAGAATTAGGGACAAGTATTTTGAACTGTAGGAGCTTATATGTAGCTAGATTAGTTTCAGAAAACTGGGAAATATTTTAAACCTTCACTGACCTTATTAAAATATATTTCCAGAAATATTCTGTTTGAGCCTTTCTCATAAATTAGTCATCTTGCACAACAGCTGTGGCAATATGATATAATAAAAAGTGCAGTGATTTAGCAACAGGGAGGTTGGGAGTTCTCATTCACAAGAAGATTAAATGACATCCTAAAATCCTCTAGATAAGGAAGCCACACATGAGAGCTGAATCATATGATCTGTCCCCTATGAGTCTGCTGATGTTTAGAAACCACACAGCATAGAGAACATTTGTATGAGAATGGGAGCTTGACACAGAATTTCCATTTTTACTCTCAGAGGGCAACCATCATATGAAGAAGGACTGGTATGTGGAATGAGTTGCGCTTTAGTTGGCTTAGGCAGAAAAGAGTTAAAGAACTTACCAAATTGCTGAGAAAACTGAATCAACTAGATTGTAGACTGAACTTCCAGGAACAGGTTTCTGAGGTTACACAACCAGACTGCCTTCACCATGATGAGAACCCCAAACCAGGATGTCGCCTGCTCATTTAGAAAGCTGCAACCACAATTCCTAGCCCCAGGAGTACCTTGTCTCTGTTACAGTCTATGTCAACATAGTAAATGCTTCATGTTCTGGCTCTGGCCCAAATCTCTGTTGGGGAGCTTAAGTCATATGAAACCTTGGCTAAGCAAGAGTCTTGGGGTTCACCTATCCAGCCTCTGAGTGTGCCACCTGAGGACTGGAGCACATACCAACAGGCCAGTCCACTGGGTACACTGCTGACAGTTACTTATGGTAAATAACACTCACATGTTTCTTCACATTTGCAGAGATATTCATGTATTTTTCACTTAAAGATATTCTGTGTACAAATGTATTATTTCTGACCATCTCTTAAGAAATTGAAAAAAAATTGAAAAGAATGTATTTACTTTATTAAAATCCAGAAAATGATTAAAATTGGGGTTTCCCTTCCAGCTTATTTTGTCCACATTGGTTTTGCTTCCATTTATGCCTTTTCCTCACTGAGGACACCCTCCACCTTTTCAATTTAATGTGCTCTTTGCCATACAGACCTGTGAATGAAGAGCCAGAGCCCTCAGAGGTCGATGCTGCTGGCCGGTGGCGTGGAGTCTATGTCAACAGAACATCTCCAGCTCCTTCAGACTCTGCAACCACAGTAAAGTCACTGATCAAATCATTTGACTTAGGACACTCAGGTATTTTACAAAACTGTACATTCACACCCTAGCCTACACACCAACCCTATCTCTGCCTCACTGGCCCCAGCCAGTTGACTGAACCACAGGCTCACTTTAGCTCATGTCTCTGTGCAGGAAGCCTCGCTGAGCCTTGTAAGGCCATAGGTAATCCTGAGGCAGTCTCCTTCCTACTTCCACTTGTTGTTATCCTCACTTCATCCTTTCAGGGCCTTCTTCCTTTGTTCAGAGAACCAGCAAGGATGGCCAGCAGCTGCATCTTCCAGGAAGTGAGCATCCCCTGTGTGTATTTGGCCCTCTTGTAGGGAGTCTCAATATCCTTACTTGCAGTGTGCTATTAGACTCTTCTACTTGGTCTTACACATGAGCTTTCCAGCCTGTAGCTTCTGATTTTGCGTTTGTTGCCAGCTTTTTCTAGAATGGTCTGACTGACTCACAGTTTCCCTGTGGCTGTGCATCTTATACACATGAGGCAATTACATGTTCATCCTTTAAGCATACACACAGTAGTGTGTTGAAGAAGCATTGCACATCTGTTCATAATTGAGATAACTTCCTTTTTTGACTACCGAAAATGTGCATTGTGTTGGAAAACTGAAGCAGTGGCTAATTCTAAGATGAATTGATTGCCTCTGCTAAAATCATTTCCAAATTACTTAGATTAAGATTAGACTCAATGTCTTGAGAGACAGGAAAACCCAGTGAGTCAGACTGTAGATTGAACATGATACATCAGTAATGATTTGTAGATTAATGTTCCTGTTGCTTCCCCAAGAGAAAACTGATCACGTATTCCCCTCCTCTGCTCCAGTATCGGCATCTGAAGCCACCTCTCACTCAGCTGACCCCTCCCCTTTCGTTTTCCCAGTTCAGCTATATTCAGAAGAGAAAAGTATAATTAACATTATTCCTAACGTGAGAGTTTTGTTTTGTTTGAGACAAGGTCTTTCTATGTAGCCCTGGTTGTCCTGGAGCTTCTTAAGTAGGTCAGGCTGACCTTTGTCCCTCTCCTGTGTGCTTGGACTAATGTGTGCCACCACACCCAACTCTTCATGAGATCTTTAAGTCGCCAAAAAAGGGAAACAGATCAAAACCCATTATATGCAGTTTTGAACTGGATCTAAGTATTTCTGTTCCAATCTCTTTTTGGCAGGTGGAACTGGACAGAGTATTTCTGTCCACAAGACTCCCAGAAGCCCCCTGAGTGGAATCCCAGTAAGGACTGCTCCGGCAGCTGCTGTCTCTCCGATGCAGGTATAGAAGAACCCAGAGGCAGCTCTTTGTGTAACCGTCTGGGTATTCTTTACTCATACGAGTGTGTCCTTGTGGAGCAGCAGGACTTATAAATCGGGGTATATGTCACTCAATATTCATTTCACTTAGTACTGGAATGTAAGGCCTATAACAACAGAGATATTTAGAGTTTTGCTCACTACTAGATATACTGGCTAGAACAATGGGTGACAGTAATCACACCACAGTAGAGCTCAATGAATTTCTGTCTGTCAAGTGAAGGAATATATCAGAGGAACCTCAAATGCTAATCTTTGGTGAAATTGTCATTCTTTTTGAAAGGCCACATCTGCATCATATGCAGATGTTGTTGGCTGTTTCAGGCATTGTGGATTTAACTTAGTACAAAACAATACAGTGAAGGTCCTTGTGCAAACTTCTGACCTCTTGAGGAACTATTTCCGTATGAGAACACATCAGGATCTATTTCAAAATGTTGGAAATTGCTTTAGTTAGCAGAAAGGAATTTAGTTCAAAGGCGTTGGTACTTCAAGGGCTAGACAAGGTGACTAAAGCCTTCGTGAGCTCATGGGAAAGGCTTTCTTTTTCTTTTTTCTTTTTTTTGGTTTTTCGAGACAGGGTTTCTCCGTGTAGCCCTGGCTGTCCTGGAACTCACTCTGTAGACCAGGCTGGCCTCGAACTCAGAAATCTTCTGTCTCTGTGCCTCCCAAGTGCTGGGATTAAAGGCGTGCGCCACCACCTCCCGGCAACACATGCCTCTTCATACCCATAGAGCTGCGGGGCAGACACCAGAGCCTCTGCAACAGGAAAGCAAGTGCCTCCACAGCCATCAGAAGCAGCAGAAGGGCCGCTGCACCTTCCTGGCACCTTCCAGAGTTTTGAGAATGGGTCTGTGTGACAGAAGCCAAATGACACGGTGAACCAAGCTTTAAGGAATTTAGAAAGCATACCCTTTAGCTTTCCAGGCTTTATAGCAAAGGGACTGCAGTGGAGTTGAGGGAGCTATTCCTTAGAACTCTAGAAGTTGGTTCCTAGAAAAGGGAAGTGTGTTAGTGAAGCGGGGAGCTGGGTTGGCTCTGTCCTCACATTGAAACACTTGATGGATGTGTTACCCTTCCATGTCTTTCACATAGAAAGTGCAGTTTCCCAAGAGTTTTCACATTCTGTACAAGGATTTTAGTAAGATGAGACTCACTCACACTTTTGTGGGTTGTACCCGTCTTCATATGTGACTATGTATGTTGTTTTACGTCTTCCATCTATGTACTTACCTTGGCACTGAGCACTTCTCTTTGTGTTGTAGTTTTGTTTACAGTTTATAAAACACTTTGTTATAGTCTCCTTTGTTTTTACACAGAATGTTTCTACGGGAGAAGCATTGGGACTGGAGAGATGGCTCAGTGGTTAAGTGGACTTACTCCTCTTACAAGGACTAGTTTAGTTTCCAGCACTCACATGGAGCCTCCCAACTGCCTGGGACTCCAGCTCCAGAAGTCTAATGTGGCTGGCCTCTTCAGCAGGCTTCTGTACTCATGCGTGTACCCACATGCACACATGGAACTTTAAATTTTTTTTAAAAATTGTTCAAAAATGTAAGATGCCTGACTTTTTTTTAAAGCTATTATGGTTTTATCTTATAACATCATAATTACCTTTTGCCAGGTGGTGGTGGCGCACACCTTTAATCTCAGCACTTGGGAGGCAGAGGCAGGCGGATTTCTGAGTTTGAGGCCAGCCTGGTCTACAGAGTGAGTTCCAGGACAGCCAGGGCTACACAGAAAAACCCTGTCTCGAAAAAAACCAAAAAAAATTACCTTTTAATGAAGAGGTAATTTTTGTTTGTTTTTCTGAAATGTTTTCACTGAAGAAAACATTGTTCTGTGTTTTCTTTCATGACTTTAAAGATTTTTGTATCGTGGTTTAAATATCTTTCTATTAGCTTATTAAAACATTCTTCCTTAGAATCATAGAAGTGTTTTATTTGAAGGGTTTTTTTTTTTGACAGTGTTTCACTGTGTATCCCTGGCTAGCCTAGGACTTCTGTGTAGAGCAGGTTAGCCTTGAGTTCACAGAGATCTGCCTACTCCTCTGCCTCCCAAGTACTGAAATCAAAAACATTCACAACCATGTCTGGCTTGTGTGTTGAGTTTTAAAACCCACAGAAGCATGAGTTTGGATCTAAGTGCTCTTCCCCTACCTTCACTGCCTCCTAGAAGCAGAAATAAATCTTTTGAGGAAGGTACCTCATGGGAACCTTACCTTGCAGCTGCCTGTCTGCCTTCCTTCTTTACTTCCTTCATTTTTTCCTTACTCCTATCCTCCCCTCCCCTCTCCTCCTCTCCCCTCCCCTCCCCTCCCCTCCTCTCCTCTCCTCTTGTTTTCTTTCTTCAAGACAGGGTTTTTCTATGTAGCCCTGTCTGTCCTAGAACTTGATTTGTAGACCAGGCTGGCCTTGAACTCAGAAATGAGCCTGCCTCTGCCTTCTGAGTGCTGTGTCACCACCACCTGGCATAGGTATTTTTTTTCAAATACAGAGTCCTTTACTCAGTTCATAGAATTCCAGGAACATAGGGTAGATAACACTGAAAGACTAAAACTCACAACAATAAAAAAATGGAAACAGGCTCAACAGATCCATATATTGATTCTACTAGACACAGATTCTAAAAGAACAGTGATAAATTCAATCAAGAAAATGAATACCAGCACAAACAACAACAATAAAAAAAGAACTCATTAAAAATTACATGACTTAGGCTGGGGATGTAATTTTTATTGGGTTCTTTTTTATTGTTGTTGTTTAAGCCCAGCACTTGGAAGGCAGAAGTAGATAGATACATCTCTGAATTCAAGGCTAGGCTGGTTTACAGAGCAAGTTCCAGGACAACCAAGGCTATACAGAGAAACCCTGTCTCAAAAACAAACAAACAAAACAAATTAAAAAAAAAAACAGAAAAAAAACTAAAACAACAAAAATCACACGACTTAAAGAAAGCCTCAAATATATAAATTAAGTTATAAATTAAACATTTGCTAGGGACATTTGAGAGACTGACTACAAGGGAGTAGAAATATTTAAGCTGAAGTGCAGATAATAAGAAGGGACAGGAAGAATAAAAAGATCTGTTGTGGAGTTCCTAAAAGGGATGGAGTTAGATCTCTAAGGGGAGAGAGAGTGAAGAGATAATAGCCAGGGGTTTCCAGAGTTTATAAAAGATGCCCAGCCACAGGCAAGAATGATAATGAACCCAAGCTAGCTATGTACAAAGAAAACTACACCTGGGTGTATCAGTTAAAACTGCTAGAGACAAACAGCAGCACTGTAGGACACTCAGGGCAGGACCTCTGGGTTAAAGGAGCCAGGACAAAACCACGGCTTCTCCATAAGTGATGGAAGACAAAGACAGACCAATTAAAGGAGGAAAATTGCTTCCAGGGATTCCTTTCACTTCACAAGTCAGTCTTTTTAAATTTCATATAGTAATAAAATATTATAGATTATTACTATGTGCTGATGCAAACTATGAAAAATCTTAGAAAATCATAGAAGTTTATGTTTATTTTAATAGACTGGAGTTTAACTTATTGCTACAAAGGAAACACTAGACTCAGAATATTTAATAATAAAATCTGAAACACTTAAAGAAGGGAATAATGTCAATATTAATCATGAATTCAAACAATGACAGGAAAATGGGGATAAACTCTTTATGAGCCAGGATTTTATTATTTCTGTTAAGATCAGTAAAAGACAGGACAATTAAAAAGGTTAGTCTCTCAGGAGCCTCCATGTAAAATTCTTGAACAAAATCTTGTCAAACCTAATTGAGCAGTATATGAAAAACATGTCAAAGGGGGTTTACTCCAACAATGCAAGGTTTTAACTGTTGAGTAGAGTCAGGAATTCACTATAGTAACAAAGGAAGAAAAATATATTCTGATCTTAGTGGGTGTATTTGAGAAATATCTTTGTGACACTGTTAATTGAACGTGCTAGGCAGACTCTTTACCACTGAGCTATGTCCAAAGCTCTTGTCCTGTTTTTTGAGATAGGGTCTTGCTAAGTTGCCCAGGCCCCAGGTAAGTCTTGAATTCTTAATCTTTTCACCTCAACCTTCTAAGTAGCTGGGGTTACATGAGTTACTCTTCTTCATTTAAACCAAGAGAAAAACTTTAGGAGCTAGGAGTATAGTTCTGTAGTAGAATGCTTGTCTATTATAGACAAGGCCATAGGTTCAAGTCTCCAGCACAAATAAAAAAGAAAACCTCTAGGTTTTTGAAATGACTTAGTGGTAAAGACACTTGCTGTGCAAGCCTAACCAAGCTTGACTGCTAGAAGCCATGCTGGAAGGAGAGAACCAACTTGGCGGTTCTCCACATGCTATATTGTCTTGTGATCACCATACTTTTTCTTTATGTCAGTGTCTTAATTAGGTTTTCTATTGCTATCATAAAACACCATTGATTAAAGTAACTTGGGGAGGAAAGGGTTTATTTTACTTTGTCTTACAGGTTGTAGCCATAACTAAGGAAACTCAGGGCAAGGCAAGAACCTTGCAGAAACCATGGAAGAGTGCTGCTTTCTGGCTTGCTCCCCATGGCTTTCTCAGCCTGCTTTCTTATACCATCGAGGATCACCTGCCCAGGAGTGGCATCGCTTCATGGGTTGGACCCTCCCACATCAATTATTAATCAAGAAACTGCTCTACAGGCTTGCCCACAGGCTGATCTGGTGATGGCATTTTCTCAACTGAATTTCCCTCTTCCTAAATGACTGTAGCTCATGTCAAGTTGACATAAAACTAGCCAGCACACACAGTCAATTATGTAAGCTATGTTTTCCTAATTATGACATATAGGTGCCAGTATTCATTCATTTCATTCATGTATATTCTCTCTCTCTCTAATACATTTCTTTAAAAAAAAACTTTTATTGAATGGATGTCTTGTCTGCATGTATATATTGTACCATGGAGGTGCCTATGGATGCCAGAAAAGGTTATCAGATCCTCTGGAACTAGAGTTACAGGTGGTGGCGAGCTGCCATATGGGTGCTAGAAATTGAATCTGGTTCCTTTAGAAGAGTAGCCAGTGCTCTTAACCATTGAACCATATCTTCAGTCCCTCTCTGGGAAGTTCTTTAATCTGATTTATTGCCAGCAATCATACTTAGTGATGAAATTTTAGATGTTTTCTCATAAGACTAAATTGTTAGGAATCTTTTACTTCACATGCTGACTTCAAAAACAACATTTTAAAACATTTTTTTTTGAAAATTATATTCTACAACAATTTTACTTATTAGGATCACTGGGAACTATACATTTCATGCTTAATATCAGTGTAGAAAGGAACCTCTAAAATAAAGAATTCTCTTACACCATGTGTATAATCAGTGTTCATAACACCAGTATCAAAGTCAGTACTGCTGTTCATAGAGGGTGGGTCCAGTGAACTACGGAAATCATAGTAGCTAACCCATGAGATGCTCACCGTGTGCTGTGACCTGCTTGAATTATTCTGAATGGATTTTTAGTCATCTAAAAACCCTCCCAACAATCTCTGTGGCACTATCAATGTCACATCATTTTCTAGCTACAGCAGCTAAAGTGCAGAGAATCATGAGGCCCAAAGGCACATGGCAGTTGATAGCAGTCAGGCTGCAGAAGACCCTCATGTGAACCTGGCAAGGTAGTGGATGTAGCCTGGTAGAATCTAGGGCAGCTCCAGGCCACCAACATGGAATTAACTCCAAGATGTATTCAACAAACAAAACCAAATGGTGCCAAATAAGTATAAGAGTATGTTAGCATTTGTGTTTTTATAGACAAGGTGAGAAGTTTATACAAAATATATCATGAAATTTGCACCTTTGCATATACTCATTCATCATTAAAAAACAAAAGGTAGGTGTGTGTAGTGTGCACGTGTGTGGTGTGTGCGTGTCTGTGTAGATATGCATAGTTTTGCATGTGTATGTGGAACAAGAGGTCAACATCAAGTGTCTTCCTCATAGCTTTCCTTCTTATTTTTTGAGACAGGATTTTCCAGTGACCCTGGAACTGACCAACTGGCTAGATTGGCTAGCCAGCAAGCTCCCCCTCCCACTCATCCCCTCCCCTGTTTTCTGCACCCTTCCTGTTACTCCATGATTCTCCTGCCCTGGAGAACCAGGGGATCTAGCATTTCCTGTGCTAAGATAAGGCATGCTGTTTCACTTTACTTAAGAAATTATATTATATATATATATATCTCAGAGTGTATTGAGTATTCCAGAAAAGATATATTCATAAAACAGATTAGTAACAGTTGCCTATGGGAAAATGAAATATGTGGTGGAAGTGAACTGGGGATTATCTTTCATTATTTGTTCCATTTAAGCCAGTTGGGTTTATTACTGTTTAAACTAGTAAGTTATTTTAAAAGACCCTGGGGTGTTCTAGTGTGCTTAAGAATTGTATGTAGGCACAGCAGTGTGTACTTGTGTTCTGTTCTTATGTTGAAAGCTCATCATGCTGATGTGCCCTTTGTTTTTGACAGAGACATTCAACTTATAGCAGCATGAGGCCAGCCAGCAAAGGGATGTCTCAGCGCTTGGACCTGCCAGACCTTCCCCTCTCTGGTAAATGACTGAAAGCACAACTACTTTTGACCTATTTAGTGGTGTTTATTTTTTGTTGCATGAACTTGAACTTGAAAAACTAATTGGTGGTATTTATTTCTGCTGATTTCATCCCCTCACGGTGCACATTGTGCTCTTTAGAGACAAATGTGCAGTTCATGCCAGAAGAAGTGTCTCCTACTTGCTGCCCTCCTCAACATGTGTGGATGTAGGAGAGATGCCAACTATCTGGATTTGTATTGTTTTTAATAAGCAAAATCTCAAGACATATCTCCTCTTCTTTAAAAAAAAAAAAAAGTAACTATGTTAGGCAAAAACCCTTGTCTGGTTTTGTGTTTGTCCACTGATTTCTCAGGTCTTTAAGTGTACCATTTTTAGGTCTCTCTGCCTTTGAGTACCATCCTTTCCTCGTGTTGCACTATATCCTTTTCAAAGTCAAATCCTGACAGTGAGGCGGAAGCTGTAATTAGGGGGGTCTCATCGTCACAATTCCATTCTTGCTGAGCCTCCTGTGCTGACAGTGCAGAGGTATAGCCAGTGAAAAGAGTAAGCAAAGCCCTGCTTGGCCTCGAGTCTCTTGGCACAGCCACTCCCCGCCCAGCATTGGCTTTGCTTTCGTCATGTCTTAAGATAGAAGCATTTCTGGTACTGGGAAGGTAGCAAGCACAATGATTAAGAGCACTTACCGTTCTTGCAGAGGACCTGAGTTTGCTTTCCAGCACCCACATTAGGTGTCTTACCTATCACTCCCGGGGATCTGACAGCCTCTTTTGGCCTCTGGGGCACCTGAATTCATGTGCATAAACTTACATTCACACATATACACATAACAAAATTTATCTTACAAAAGAAAAGAAAGAAACTACTTCAAAGGGTCATTTGAAGGATTGAATTAATTCATTTAAAACACTGAGGATACTGCCTGGTGTGTTATGGGCATCATAGAAATACTTGCTGTTAGTCACTTTCCTTGCTGTTGTTTGCTGAGCCTGTTAACATGCTCAGAAAAAACGAACAAAGTTACAACTTGCTCTGTGTTGTAATTTAAGTATGCAATAGCATTTCATCTAAAAATACACATAGCTAGCTTAATAATGATGTATTATCACCAACAATCATCTCAGCCTTCAGCAACTTAGCATCTTTTTTCTGACAGAGGGTCTTGCCTCCATGTTGATGGCTACTGACTTAGGTCGGGTAGTGTTTACTGAAGCTGGTATAATGGTGGCAATTCTTTAAATAAGACTCCAGTGACATTTACTGTGTCACCTCACCTTGACTTTCCCAAGGGCTTTCCCACATAGCACGTCTTTCAAAATCAGAGTCACTTCTTTCAAAATGCGGCTTCCCCGAGTTGACGTCACACTCTGAATCCTTTGTTACCGTTTCCAGTGTTCGCAGCACCTTCACCAGGCAGAGGTTCTTTCTTGAGAGATTACTTTCTTTGCTCCTCTGTAAGAAACAGCTCACTACCCACTAATGCTTTCTCCTGAGATGGCAGCAGTTCAGTCTTCTCCTTAGGCTCCTTTGCCAATCTAGTGCCTTTGCCATTCCCGTGCCTGCAGTGATCCCCACCACTGATGTCTGGAACCCTTCAAAGTCGCCACTGAGGGCTGGGATATCAACTGCTTCCCAATTCCCATTGATGGTGACGTGTTTACCTCCTCCCATGGATCACCATGTTCCTAGTGGCATCTCAAGTCCTACATCTTTCCAGAAAGCAGTCCATTTTTGTTGCTCAGGTTCATGGGAGGAATCATTATTTGTGGCAGCTATAGCTTTTGAAATGTTTATATAATAAACATTGAAAGTCAAACTTACTCCTTGATCCACAGGTTGTAAAATTGCCTCTGTGTCAGGAGGCAAAAAAAAAATGTTAGTAATATTATTTTTGTACATCTCCATCAGTATTTTTGGATGAACAACCAGGAATACCATCAAGGGCAATAAGGGTGGAGTTGTTGATTTTGTTTATTATTATTGTACATGTGTGTAATGTATGTGTAAATATGCATGTACCACTGCACATATGGAGAAGTCAGAAGACAACTTTGTAGAGTTGGTTCTCTCTTGCTACTTCACGTGTTTCCTAGTGTGCAGCAAGTACCTTTACCCACTGACATATCTTGTAGGCTCTGAGCCGTTGTTGTTGTTGTTGTTGTTGTTATTTATTATTATTAATCGTGTGTGTGTGCCTTAGTGTGCACCACATGTGTGCAGTGCTCAGGGAGGCCAAAAGAAGGTGTTGGACCCCAGAGAATTGGTATAGACAGCTGTGAGCCACTATGTATTGTAAATGCTGGTAACTGAACTCAGGTCTTCTGCAAGAACAGCCAGTGTTGTTAGCCTAAGCTATCTCTCTAGCCCCACAGAGAAGCTTTGAAAGGATTTTTTGTGCATGAGAGCAGTAGACCTTTAGAGCAAGCTTTAAAGATTTCATACATGGTGCTGTAAAGAGACACACTGTCACCTGGCCTTTGCTGTTCCATTTACAGAGTGTAAGCAGAATCGGTTTAATACATTCTTAAGTACCCAGGGCTTGGGAAATGAGTATGGCTGCAACCTAAAAGCATTCAAGTCTGAGCACCTCTTTCCCAGAAATGGAGGGTGGAGGCCAAAACAGGAGATTGGAACCTGTCCGCATCATTGTGTAATACAGCACATGCTCATTTGCAGTGTAAAATAGGGAGTAACTTACTTGCTTGAACAGTGCTAGGTGAATTTTTTAATTTTGTGGTAAAAGCTATACAACATAAAATTTACTATTTTACTGTGCTCTGTTGGTGATCATATTTTTATGTCTTTCTCAGGGTATTCTACCAACTTCCAAATTTCCTAATTATCTAAAGAACTGTCCTTTTGATTGACAAGATAAATAATAAAGTTGAGGCCACAGTTATTGCTGTGGAGCTCATCTGACTACCCTCCTCCTTACCCCCAGGCACCTGTCTCCCAGAGATGAGTCTGTTTACTATAATAAAGGACTGCATAGTAAAAACTGTTTGCTTCCAGCCATTTCCAGAAACTGCTTGTCAACACTGAGGTCATCCCAACTGCAGATTAATGTCCTGTTTTTGTTGTTCTCTTCAGTGATGTAGAACTGTTTTTCTCTGCTATTCAGACCTAATTGGCCTCACCCCCAACATCATGCCCGTAATTGATGGCTATTAGCTGAAGAGGTAGTGTTTTCTTCTGTGACTGTGGGTGACAAGGTGGCCCCAGCTGTCCTGTGATGTTCAGCTAATCACCCGAGTCCCACAGCTCCAGCTTCCACTCTATAGAAGACAGTCTTAAGTATTTTTTGCTCGTTTTTGCTTTTATGATGCTTTGAGAAATCTGGAGAATTCAGTTCATTCTAGTACTTGTTTTCACTAATGCTAATATGAAAGGAGCAGAAAGGAGCCTTTTAAAATGTTTTTGCTCAGTTTTTAGTGAACTATAAGTCTGTAATTAAAACAACTTTCTCTCATGTGGGCGATTGTTCTTGTGTCCAGCTTTTTGTCTGCTGCTTGGCATTTGATCCGATAGTCACATGAGACGTTTTCCTACCAGCTTTTTCTTTGTGATATCATAAAACAAACATACTAGGTAGAGACTGGGCTAGAGAAGTAGGTGTCCTAACGGGGTCATTGCACAAGGCTCTTAGAAGGCCCCATACTTTATTTAATACTTTGATAACTGTCTGAAATTAATAATCATTTTTGAACAAAGGGCTGCTTTGGCACTAGGCTTTTTCTTTCTTTTTCTTTTTCTCTTACATGTATGCATGTTTTGCCTGCATGTTGTTTGTGAGCTACTGATGTGCCTGGTGCCTGTGAAGGCCAAAAGCGGATGTTGGATCCCCTAGGACTGGAGTTACAGATGGTTGTTAACCATTAGCTGGGTGCTAGGAATTGAACCCAGCCAGTGCTTATAATACTGGATCATTTCTGTAGTTCAACTAGATCCATTTTTATGATATGTTTTATTTATTTATTTATTTATTTATTTATTTATTTATTTATTTATTTGACTATGAGTGTGGATGTGTGCTTCTCTGAACATAGGAAGAGGTCAAAAGGATTATCATTTTCTTGGCTAAGCTGTGTGCTAGCAAGTACAGAAATTCTCTTTGTTTTCATTCCTATTGGAGTTGGGGTTTCAGGTGTGCACAGGACACCTAGCTTGCTGAGATCTGAACTCAGGTCCTTATGATTGTTCAGTAAGCACTCTAAACAACTGAGCTATCCACACTGGCCTAAGGTTTTACAGAGTATGTGGGTAGTCCTGCCTGGAGTATATGTGCATACTTATGTAGATATGTGTTTGTACTTGAGAATAAAGTATGCTAACCAGATTTCTCCCCTTTAGAAGTAGGTGACAATGTTATTATTCACACAGATCTTCTGAAGGGAAGGGCTGAGGACCGGAAGTCAGACCCTTACCTCCGAAAGAGTCCCTCACTGGAATCCCTGAGCAGACCCCCCTCCCTGGGCTTTGGGAACACCAGACTGCTGAGTGCGTCCACCGGGGGTCTGAAGCCAAGCAAGCTCAGGTACTGAACTTTAATTATGAGAAATGGGATGAACATTGTCCTCTTCCTTCTGTCTCATCCACAATCAGCTTACTTCTGAATGACAGCAATTAAGATGTAAAACACATCTTCAACAAGTCTATTAAGAAGCCAGTACATAGTGGTTTGGGACAAAATCAAATGAAAGACTGTACTTTTAAAAGCAGGAGACCTGAGATGTATCAATGAATAAAGGCTCTTGTCATGCAAGCCTGACAACCAATCCAGGTAGACAGCTGGGGAGTTACAGCTGGAAAGGCAGGCTGGAGCCCTGTTGCAAACAGTCTGCATTGCCAAAAAAGAGCTTCATACTTATTTTGGTAAAGCAGTGGGGAACCACTAAGACTGTGGGATTGTGTTTTTGTTTTTGAGTAGTGATTAAGAGCAGACCTGCTATTTAAGCAAGATTATTGAGAACACAGTGGCATAGAAGGAGGATTAGAGAGACGTTTTAAGATCAGTGTTTAAAGGGGTGTTAGCAAAGATGGGTAGCATGCAGCAGAGGAAGGAATGAAGAGGGAGGCTGGCAAGGCGGTTGCTAAACACCCATCTTTACACCCAAGCTTCTGCTACCTCCTCCCTGCCGGTGCCCCTGGTCAACATCCCGGCAAGCGTATTTCATCTGTTTCCCTTCTCTCCAGAGTCTTCCCTACTCCTCCATGTTAGTCTTCTGAATGAAGCACCTGGTGTTCTACTGCAGCCCTCTCAGAAGCCCCTGGAGCAGTCATTGCACTGCATCCTGCTCTTCTGAGTCTGAAGTATAGCTCCATCCCATCACCCGTGAGGATGGCTTAGCTCTTCACTCCAGGATAAATGGAAGACTAATGAATCTACCATCAAAATTAGTAAATATGAGATGGCTCAGTAGGTCAGAGCATCTCCCATGAAAGCAGAGGCCTGAAACTCTAATCTCACTTGGATGTCTTCCACTCATTTGAATGTGTAATTTCATTCTACATTTGGGCATTGTTCCCAGTGCCTTGCCTTGTGTTCCATGTAACAGCTCACCCATAGATAAGTCTACAAAACTGTCTATTTCAGGGATAAGAGCTTTATAGTACTATGATCATCTATATGTGTCTTATGGGAAGATTTGTGAGTCAGAATACATTCAGAATCTGCATCTTTGGAATGTAACTGATATTTGATCCCTAATAGGTAAAGTCTGATGTTTCAATAGGTTTATGAAAGTCCTAAATATAGATCATCCTGTATCTGCAGATTAACTAATAGAAGCAGATTAGAAGGACTAGAATTAGCACTACTCTCAACTCAATTCCATAAATTCAAAGGTAGACTATTTATAGTATACATTTTTTCATAAAATGTCAGTTAGTGATTTTAAATTCTTATTTCTTTTACATTCATGTTATTAAGTTTAGATTTTTAAAATTACATTTATTTTTGTGCAAGCATATGCCACAAAGTGCATATGGAAGTCAGAGAACAACTTCTTTTTTTTTTTTCCCCTAGAGGACAACTTCTACCACATAAATACCAACAAGGTTTGAATTCAGCTCACTGGACTTGGCAGCAAGTGATAAACCATCTTGCCAGGCCTGGAATTTTTGCATTAGAAATGTAATCTGTAGCTATGCATAGTCAATTACACTTATAATTTTAACACTTAAGAAGTTGAGGTAGGAAGACAAGGAGTTTAAGGCCAGTCTTGAGTACATAAGGAGTCCCTATCTCAGGATAGAATAAATTTTCAACCTCTATTATTAAATATCTTGTTATTTTTTATTATTAATTATTACTATTATTTGTGTGACATAGGATGTTCTTCTCTAGCTTTCCACCTTATTTTTTGAAACAAAAGTACTTTCTACATTAGTTTATATTTCTGAGACCTAGAGCCACCCATTCCTTGGTTAAAATTATTGAAAAACATATTTTATTAAGGGTCTGGAGAGATGACTTGGCTGGTAAAGTATCTTCTGTATGAGCATGAGGAGCTAGGTTTGGACCCCCACCCCTTGCCTTGTCTATAACCCTGGTATGGGGAGCAGGGGGTGTGGCATGGCAGTGGAGTATCCCAGAGCTCTGGCCAGCCAGTCTCACCATCTGATGAGCACCAAGCTCAGAAAAGACCCTGTCTCAAAAGATAGGATGGAGAGCAATTATGGAAGACAATCAACACCAACCTCTACTCTCCACATAGACACTACATACACATGCGCCTTCATGCATACATTCTTTCTCTGTGCACACATGCAAAACTTTGTTGTTGTTTTCCTCTAAAGGCTTTATAATTTTAGCTTGTAAAGTAAGCTGGGAGTAAATTAACAAGAAAAATATACAAACTGTTGTTAATCTGCAGAAACATGGGAACCATATACAAAGTGTGTGATTGAAAGAAAAGGTTGGCTAGTGAAAACCTAAACAGCCTCTTCCAGGGCGGGGGGATGGAGGGGAGTAGGGTGAGTTTTAGGAGGGCAGTAAATATCTTTTGAGCACATGCTCTGGTTGTAGTTTCTGACCCAGCGTTTCTTCCTCTGTTGATCTGGCTGGTGGATGAAGGCTGAAGAAAGCTGTGTTCATCTTTTCCTCGGCCTAGTCAGATACAGGGAAGAACTTTGCACAAGTCTGTCTCCACACTAGGAAGGGGAAGAAAAGATGGGTAGGGGGACCTTTTGTTACTTAGCTTCCCATCATATAACTAAGATGACTAACCTATCCAAAGAGAAGGTCTGTTTTGGCTCATGATTTGAAGGTTGCAGCCTGTGATCTCTTGGATTTGTTGCCTTGGACCTGTGATAACTTGGGAGTTTGTAACATAATTGCTGTAATTTTTCTTACTATGGGATATTCCATGAGTGTGACTGGACCTCAGCTTATCTGCTTGTTGGCACATAGTTGGTTATCTTTTTATTATTGTAAGAATGCTGCCTTGCTACCTTGAGCATTCTTGGGTCAATGACTCAATTATATCTATCTGCCTTAGGAATATATTGATAATTCCTATCCCATTGGACTTTTTTGCCTTTTGGTGAGTCTTTCTTTCCCTGTTATGAAATAAAGTACACTACAAAACTTCTACTGCAGTATACTTCTGACTCCATGATCCCCATGCTAGAAGGCACTGTATGATCTTAAATCTCTTCTCGACATTTTAATAATTTTGACTAGCATAAAAACAATGTCAGTGTTGAGAGAGACCAACAGTGAGCTCCTAAATACTTGCTCTTAGTATGCTAAAATATTATAAATAGTGATGTCATCTCAACTTTTACTCATTCTGTACCTAGAGTCCATGGTCCATAAACTGGGCCAAGACTCTGAATCATTTCATTTTATTTTACTAATTTTCCCTTCCTCTCTACTCCCAGAATCTCCTGTAACAGCTAGTTTGAGGTTTTACTATGGCTTTTCCTTTACTTTTTACATGTTAGAGTGTAGCCATATATAGGCATATTATACTCAAATGATGTTGTATTTCACTTAATAAAAAGCTAGATAAATACATTTTAAAGATTTATTTTTTTATTCATGTGTATGTTTGTGTACCACATGTATGCAGGGGCCCTCAGAAGTCAGAAGAGAATATCCAGTTTCCTGAAAGTACAGTTATAGGCAGCTGTGAGCTGCCATGTAGTGCTAGGAACAAAGCCTGTGTCCTTACAAGAGCAGTAAAGTCTCTTAACTACTGAACCCCCCTCTCCAGCCATTTGGTGGACAAAAAAAAAAAAAAAAGAAAGAAAGAGAGAGAGAGAGAAGAAAAAGAAATCCTTAGATTTACAGTTGTCAAGTACATTTAGTTTTCTTTTATAACATAGGACATAGTGTAGTTTTAATGTGACTAATTTGCCTTCACAGTACTTTTCTTTAGAGTACTATTTGCATAAACCTATATTTCGGCTTTTTCTTATATAGTTATTTCTTATATATTTGTAGGTGGTAAAAGTCAGCATCTTGCCAGATGTGGTAGTACATACCTGTAATCCCAGCATTTGAGATGTAGAGATAGGAAGATCAGGAGTTCAGAGTCATCCTTGCCCGTAGAGGGAGTTCAAGACCAGCCTGAGGCATAGGAGACCTTGTCTTAAAAGAAAAATAAACAAAAAACAAAAAGCAAAAACAAAAAACCAAAAACTCAATCAAACAAACAAAAACCCAACCATTCCACCAGCATCCTCCTTAACTGTGTGTTCTTCTTTATCACCAGTGTTGAAAGGAGAGACCCTCTGGCAGCCCTGGCCCGGGAGTATGGTGGCTCTAAACGTAATGCACTCCTGAAATGGTGTCAGAAGAAGACAGAAGGCTATGCGGTAAGGAGTGGTGCTGCCAAGTGGGCATTTGTGTTCCTGTGCCAGGACGTGTCCCATGTGTGCATGTGCTCGGTAGCCCAGTTGGAATAAAATGCTATCTCTGTTCTCTCAGCCGTGACTTCCAGGGAGGGTATGATATTTGTGTATTGTATTATGCAAAGGTCCCTCAGATGAGGAGAGGCAGGGTGTGGGGCCAGAAGGCCAGTCTGTAATCCATCCACAAACTATATCTGTAAGTAGTCACATGTGCTGTAGGAAGAGAACCTTTGCCTCATTCCTCCCTGGACTGAGCTGTTGCTAAAGCTTCCTCACAAAAAGGGAAATCTTCCTTATTTGCATAAATGCTTCCAAAGGTTTTCTAACTCTTTTTTTTTTTCAAGGCTTTAAGTGTTTTTATTTAGTTTAGTTTTATTTGTCTAGGATGGTGTTTACTTTCTGAGTGGAGCAGACAAGGAAGTGATACCTGATATAAGTTGAATCTTTTATTATGAAGTAACGTACACAAAGATAAAAGTGCATGAATTAGAGTCTCATTAATCATTATGAAATGAAAAACAAGTCAAAAACCCCATCCAGAAATAGTATGTCCAGTTCCCACAAGTCTGTTGTAACTTTCCAGCCAGAGCCCCTTGCCACTCCCCAATATACCTGTCTGCCTCATTTCTTTCCATGCGGGTTTTCTGTAAAAGTGCTTGAGCAGTGATGCCTTTCTCAGCTTTTAGATACAAGGAACAAAAAGCTATATAATATTTTCATCAGACTTTTCACACAGTATTGAGTAAGATCTGTCCTTTATTGCTGTAACTTATTTTCCTTACTATTCAGTAATACAATATATGATGTTGTCATTACTTATCAATGCTACTGATATTCTTACACCTGCTGGATATGCACTTAGGAATGGAATCCCTGGGCCTTACTGCATGCCCATAATGAGATATGATAGAGGATGCCAAGAAGATTTCTAGTAACTGTGTGTCATCAGTCCTGGGAGAAACGTCTCTGTGTGTTATCACCGGCATCCTGCTCTCCTCGATCATAGTCATTTGGATAAAGGTGTAGTCACTTGCGATGGTTTTGATTTTTGTTAGCCTGTTGGTTAGTGAGATTGACGGTAAGTTAACTGGTTATTTGGACAGTCTCTGTAGAGATGTATCTATCAGGCCTTTCATCCTTACTTATTTACTTTGTATTTATATTTTTGTTCTTGAGAATGGAGCATAGAGCCTCTTACATGTAAAGCACTCTACCAGTGAGCTTCTTGCCAGCCTTTTGCCCATTTTTAAAATCATTTCCCCCTTTTTTTCTTCATTGTTTTTTAAAATCCTTCCTATGGGGCTGGAGAGATGGCTCAGTGTTTACAAGCATTCGTTGCTATCCCCATCTTTTTCAGGGCTTCTGACACCTGCTGATGCACATTCACACATGGAGCGAAAACTGTCACAGATAGATCAAATAAAACATACATTTTAAGTTTTAAAGTTTTTATAGTTTATATATAAGTTCTTTGTTAAATAGATGTATCACAAATTCTTTCATGTGGCTTGAAATTTCACTCCAAAAACAAAACCCTTAATAAAAAATTGTATTTATTTTTTTCAATTTGTGTATGTTTGGATGCATGTATGTAGACACATGCATGCCACCATAGTGCACCTGTGGAGGTCAGAGGACAACTCTGTAGAGTTGATTCTCTCCACTTTTTTTTTTTTTTTGAGACAGGGTTTCCCTGTATAGCCCTGGCTATCCTGGAACTCACTCTGTAGACCAGGCTGGCCTTGAACTCAGAAATCTGCCTGCCTCTGCCTCCCAAGTGCTGGGATTAAAGGCATGTGCCACCACTGCCCAACAATTCTCTCCACTTTTATGTGGGCTTCAGGAATCAAAGCAAGTGCTTTTACCTGCTTAGCAATCTCTTGCCAGCCCAGAGCTCTTAATTTGTACTAAGCCAGATTGATGCATCTTTTCTCTAATGGTTAAGTGCTTTTTGTATCCTGTCCAGGAATCATTTGTCTGAGGGCCAGGTTGCCTTCAATCTCAACACTGTAGAGATAGAGGTAGGCTGATCTCTGAATACCAGGCCAACCAGGAACACATAGTGAAGCTTTATTTTTCTATAGTTAATGCTAAATGGATATGTCTTTTAAATTTTTATCCTCAGCTCCATTCCCCCTTTTTGCTAAAACCTTAGAAGATTCTGACTTTATAGCACCATATAAGACCTTCCCAGTCTCAAGCTTTTGAAAGTAGCCAGGACCAAGAAAGAAGCTAGCATGTAACCATGGCTTAGCTAAGTCCCAGTTAGCTGAGAAGCAGGGCTGAGGTTCTCTTTGTTGTATTAACCATGCAATAGTTTAAAATCAGCATGTATGTAAGAGTAGTATTACCTTTATCTTGTTTTTTTTTTTAATTTCTCCTTTTATGTCACAAAACTCAAAATACAGTCACATTCATGACAAATAACAAAAGATCCCAGAGGACACACTTGCTTCTAGCTCACTTTTATTCTTTCAGCATTTCTGTCTACCCTTGGTAAGCCCTAGTCTAAGGGATGAACTGTCCTGCAAATGGAAACCATTTCCATGAAAGCATCCCTCCACTTGTCAGCCATGCTGCTAAGGAAATGGAAATGCAGGAGAAGAAAGAGAATGCTGACTGTGTGAGGGGTGGGGGGGTTAGCATCAAGAAAGAATGGTAATGGAAACTGGAAGAAAACAGTCAAGAAGAGCAGTCAGCCTTAACTGTGGCTGAGCCCAGCGTGGTTGTCTCTGGCTGGGTGCTGTCATTTCTTACTGCAGGAGTAGATCAGGGACAGACAAGAGGAGTTCAAAGACAATTACAGTTTTCAGAAGAAACTGACCCTTTGTGGTATGGTGCTATAATTAAATGGCAGGGAGGAGATCGACAGTATATTTCCAGTCAGTTGAGAGAAAAATATTTCCTGCTAACAAAAACTTGTTTTGTAAATGTCTTGGATTAAGTTTTCAAGATACTTTATGTTTAATGAAACCCACAATTTATTGTGTCTGAAGAATATTTTTCACTCACTGTTAAATGTAAGTTTAGAAAGAATTATAAATCACACATGTGTCTACCTTTCACAAACTATTGTCTAGCTAGACCAGTTTGTTCACGTTGGTGTCTGGAGCTCTTTGTACTTATGCTTACAGAATTAAGAAGACAAAACCGATTGTTGAAAGTTCAGATGATTCATAATCTCTTTGAAGACCATATGGGTTTTTACTTCAAATAACTTCTACCTCGCTGTCTTTCTACCTAGCCAGGTGTTGGATTGAAATGGACACTGTGGAAGGGAAGCCTTAAAACACCAGTCCGCTGGCTCAGGGTCCCATGCTGAGGTCTTCTTGGTGCCCACAATGTGCCTTTGTGGGGTGCTCTATATTTGTGAGGTTCATGGCTACAAGTGCAGCAGCCAGCTGGGCTGAGGTCAGGTTTCCTTTCCTTCTGCCTTCCTTCACCAAGGGACCTTGACCTGGCTTGTGTGGAATTCAGGGCAGATCTCTTCAGAGCCTTCTGTTAGTCGCCTCCTAAGCAGCACAAGGCATCGTTGTCTCCATGCACCTGGGCTGTGTTCCTAGGGCTCTGCCATGTCCTGGACTCTGGTGGACACTGGCAATTCAGTCCAAGTCATGGCAAAGTTAGCAAGTGTGAAGTCTGCTAAGACTACTTGACTTTGGAAACTGATTCTTTTCAGAACGCCCAGGTAAGGATCCTGCCTCCAACATGTGGAAACAGAAACCGAGAAAGTTGCTAAGCTAATGCTATTTACACCGCTCCATCAGGACGACAATGAGGTCACACACAAACTTCACAGCTCTTAGCTTCCTGCAAGTTAGATGGGAAAGTGGTGGACTTTTCTTGTAGCTGTTAGTATTCCTGTCATTCTTGTATACTCTACTTCCTTTTCAGCATGCAGACTCTTGACATCTTGAGGTGCATAACTGTCAAAAGAGTACAGTTTAGGCTGGGGTTCTCCATGCTGCCCATGTATCTGAATTGCCTGACTACCTGTCTTAGCCCTTCCACATTGCTACAAAATACCACAGATCAAATGGTTTACAGACAATAGGAAGTTACCTTTCATAGTTAAGGCTTAGGAAATCAAAGGTCAACGCAGATCTGTGATGAGGATGCCTGTTCCTGTTAAATAGGTTACACCTTTGGCTGTATCCTTGCATGATAGAAAGGAGTAAGACAATTCTCAACCCCCTTTTGTAAGGACATAATCTCATCAGGGGACCCAACCATCTTCCAAGGGCTTACCTTGTAAAATCATCACCATGGTGAGCTGGGGACTGAGCTGCACTCACAGCCTTACTCCTGTATCTTTAGTGGGATAATATAAGAAAAAGTGATTAAGTAAGAAGACTCCATCACCAAGATGGTTTCCTCCCAGAGCCTTCCCTAGTCATTGTGGTTCACATTTTAGCTTTCCATTTTCACCAAGACCCAATCAAAATTTACAGCCTATTTCATGGGCACTGAGATCAGAGAGTGAGATTGAACTGTCAGCTGTATCAAGGCTGAGAGAGGAACAGTAGTTAAGAACTGAATGCTGTGTCCTTGGGGTTATGTGATTATGTGCAAGACCCTGAGTTGGGAACCCACACCAGTAGGCAGGAATCTGAATGCTGCTGTCAGTGCTCAGGTTTGTGTTGCATCAGCCTGAGGCCAGCAGCAGCATCCTAGCAACTTCTGATAGTTTTGATTCATGGCAATTCTGGGGAAGATGGTGTATATATAATAAGGTTACTTCTAAACCTGACCTTAGAGACAAGTAAGTGAGGATTGAGCCTGAAGTAAAGAAACTAATTTTAGGCTATGGTTAGAATAATCATTCATACTGTTGATAGAAAAACAGACACAATCCCCACAAAAACACCACAGCTCTCACCTTAAAGGGAATAAGAGATAATTTATTCTAGAACCAAATTTGAGTGGTCATATCCCAGGAAACACAGAGCTAGGTTACCCCAGGT